AGTAGCAAAGCAAACTCAACAAATTAGCAGAATACTACTTTTCCCTGTCTTCTTAACCTTATATGGTTGCCACTGCCTTCTTTGGAAACTTCTCAAACAAAGCAGCCAATCTGGGGAGGGGAAGCCGCCCTCCCGGAACCTCATCCGCGGACGAGCAGCAGCGCCCCTTGCTGCCTGGCCTGGCCCACCTTTCCCACCCAGGAAGTTGGCTGGGCAGGAAGCAGTGAGATCACACACACTCTCCCGCCTGCCCGCTCGCCCTGGGTGAGGTGGTGCCGAGGCCGGTGGCCGGCCGTCGGCACTACCCGGGTGGGCTGCCCCTGCGGCGGCTTCCCCGCAGGGAAGGGGTGCTGGTCTCTTGCGAGGAGCGCTGGGGGAAAGGGTAGCAGGAGCGGGACACCCCCACCCACAAGCACGACATGCTCACCTGTGAGTGCGGCTGTGCCCTACCCCGAACAGGTCAACTCACGGAACTTGCACCCCCCCCAAACGGTCCGCAGACCGGAAAAGGTTGGGGACCGCTGTAGTAAAATATACAGGCAATCATAAAGAACAGAAAACACAAAAAGCTTGCAGCATCAGTTATCTAGAACAGCAGTCCCCAACTGTTTTGACACTGCGGACTGTTTGGGAGGGATGGGGCCCGTGTGCCGGGGGCCTGCGTGCAGGCGTGGGCACTTGCACACATGTGCAAAGGGGTGGGGCGCTCACATTGCGTGTGCACACACATGCATGCATGAAAGAGGTGGGGGCTCACACGTCATGCACACGCGCGCATGTGCGAAGGAGCGGGGGCACTCACACATCATGCACATACACTTGCACGCATGCGTGAAGAGGCTGGATGGGTGGGTGTGCGGGGGTGGTGGAAGATCTGTCTCCACGGCCTGGACTGGCCAAGGACCAGCACCAGGCCGCGGATTGGGAGTTGGGGACCCCGATCTAGAAGACATTTCCAGTTTACATACTGCTTTTCTTTATTTGTGGCCTTGATGTGTTTTTGTTTATCCTAGTGTTTAACCTGGGAGAGGTGTGAGAATAGATTAATTTACCCTGAATCTTCAGTAGAGACGTGAATCCAGGCGGCTCTCTTAAAATCAGCTCCTTGGGAGCACTTGAAGGGAAATCATAGTGTCTCGGCAAAGCTGATGATAGCTCTGCTTTTCCTTCTCTTCCCATGGTTGCAACCACAAATATGCTATTTTCATTATCATATCAACGCCTGAATTCTTGTAAAATTCAGTGACTTAACTAGAAAATTGGTTTGCCTTTCCTAGACCTTTATATAGAATGGACTGAAATGGATTCTGTTTAAACTCCAAATTACACGTTTTAGGTAGGATGCTTACTTTTGAGCCAAACTTGCTAGTTAGCAGATTCTGTCATTGCCTGTAACTACAGCTGGATCTTGCAGCAGTTTCATATTTATTCTTAACAAATCAAAAGCCTGGCTAACAACAAGGCCAGTGGAGGTGATGGCATTCCAGTTGAACTATTTAAAATCTTAAAAGATGATGCTGTTAAGGTGCTACATTCAATATGCCAGCAAGAATTCAGCTCCCTCCTTTCACCCGATGCTGAGTCCTCTTCATGCTGGGCTGAGTTCAGCCGGCGCAAAGGGGACTCACCATCAGGTAGAAGGAGGGAGCCGATTTCTCCCCGGCTGGCCGGCTTGCTTCTGAAGCCAAAAAGGCAGGGAGAAAGCGCGGGAAGTTTGAACTTCCCGCACTTTCTCCCTGTCTTTTTGGCTTTGGAGGTTTCAGAAGGCTTCCTCCGATGTCGGAGGAAGCCTTTTGAAAGCTCCAAAGGCAGGGAGGAAGGGCAGGGAATTCGAATTTCCCGCCTTTTCTCCCTGCCTTTTGGGTTCGTAACCCGATCTGCATTCGCAAGTAGGGTTTACTACTTGCGATGAGATCGGGTTCGTAACCCGAAATGTTCATAACTAGGGCCGTTCGTAAGTCGAGGGCCCACTATAGTCATATTGATTTACAACTTTTACCATGGTTTCTTGTGTCTTCAAAACAGCTACTATATTAATATGTTCACTTGTGAATAATTAAAACATATGATAAACCTCAAACACTAAACCATTAGTCATGATCTTATGTTTAAGTGTTCATTTTAACCAAACAGTTCAGTAGTTCTACGAAGTGAAGTTCATCCTTGTAAAGGTTCCTTTAAAGGTGATTTCCTCAAATCTTAAATGTTTGCCTGTTTTTTTTAATATGCTGTCAGTTTTCAAATACAATGATCATGTTGCATTGAGTTTATCTGCTTTTCAATTATTTTTTACAATCCTCTAAAATATCACCAGTTTAAAAATGTTTGCTGGCAATATCATACTAATCAAACAAACACACAAGAAACAAGCACCTCTTTGATAACCTGATAATTTTACTCGGGATTAAAAATTAACTGTGCAAAACCTAGAATACTTTGATTCAACGTTACGGAAGCTTCCTTACAAGAGAATACCAATGAGCTATTTTTATACTTTTAAAAAATATCCTCAGTTATTTTAAAAATAAAATGGAACAGGAAAAAAATTGCCTCCATATCCCGTACAAGGCACATGCTGATTTCCTGAAACAATCTCAACACCACCACGCCGGCTCCAATTTTTTTGGGAGACTGCGGGGAAGGCTGTTTGGTTCCTGGGGCTGCCTGTTAAGTCCTGTAGTATCTGAAGTGTTTTACAGGCAAAATATTAAACATTGTGCCTTGAATAAGAATGTAGAATGTTCCTTCTCCCTTTGTTGAACAAAAAGTCTTTACTCCTTTTCTCTGTTTCCCATGCACTTTCATATTTTAAGCTTGTAGTTATTGCCCGCAGCCAGATTTTGTTGCTATTGTCTTGGGTAACAAAACTGTTTTGGCCTTTTCACCAAAGCTTTCTACACTCCTCCAGATCTAAATTGCTTTTCACTCATAACATAACCTGAAATGGATGCCTGGCATAGAGCCTCTATAGGTATCCTAGCAGGAATTATATGATTTGATAGCCTGTCATCAGAAAGCAGTTAAGATTGTGCTTCTCAGTGCTCTGCTTTGAAAGCATTCATTTAAGAGAGATTTACCCCAAAGAAGTACAATCTATCAATTCTCTTGCTCAAAATCTTGCCCCACCTCCCCAGCCATTAATAGATCTGAATGAGAAGTTCGCAGACTTTATTCCACCATGAGCCTCTTAAAGATTACTGGGGGATGTCCATGGACCATCTATTAAATGTTGGTAGCTATTATTTTAAAAATTAGAACAGTTTCGTGACTCATATTTTAATAATAAGTTTATCTTCTGCATTGGCGTCATCATCAAAACAAGCTCTGTATTGTGAAACCTATTGACTCTGAGCCAGGCTGTTGTGAAAAGTCCTTTATGACAGTTAGATTTTTAAGGAAATTAACAAGTGCCATATTATGAATCCTTGAATCATGGATTTTGTTAGCCAGTTTGGTAAACTCGTGCAGTCCTCAGTCTCCATCATCAGAAAACGTAAATCAAATGCATAGTCTTTCACTGAATGATCTGAATGTAGCTGGTCTACAGTCTTTTATTGGGTTATCTGAATGGAGTTTAGGGATGACAGATGCTTTTTTTTCCTTATAAAAAAGTGCAGAAGACATGGTGGAGACGAGAACTTGGCAGTAATGTGTGACAAGCAGTATAGTACATAGTTGGGTGGCATTGTGCATTTTCATATTAAAAGTAACATGATGGCTGAAATCAAGTAGTACCGTAAGTTGCAGCTAAGGAGGATATTGAACGAGTGTTGATTTTTGAATCAATTGTTACATAAGTTCTATTGATTCAATGGACATACTCTGATTGTAACTTACTACTGGATTTCAGGCACTTTTTGTTGTTATGTGCCATCAAGTCACCTTTGACTGATGATGACTCCAAGAATGAGCAATTTCCAAAATGTCCTGTCCTCAACAGTCTCCTAGTCAGCTCTTTTAAGCTCAAACCTGTGGTTTCCTTTGGAGTTAATCTATCTCATACAGTATTAGTTGTCTTTTAAGCTCAAACCTGTGGTTTCCTTTAGGGAATCAATCAATCTCATACAGTATTAGGTGTTCCTGTTTTCCTGCTGCCTTCAACCTTTCATAGCATTATTGTCTTTTCCAGAGAATCCTGTCTTCTCATGATGTGCCCAAAGTAGAACAGTCTCGGTGCCATAATTTTTGCCTCTGGATAGAGTTCAGGCTTGATTTGCTTCCTTGTTCAACCTTCTGGCAAAACAGCATAGCTGCAGATCTCTCTCCTCCAGAACCATACTTAAATGAATCAATCTTTTTCCTGTAAACTTTTTTCTACTGTCCAGCTTTCACACCATGACATGGTGTTTGGAAATACAATAGTGTGGATAATCTTGGTCTTGGTCTCTAGTGACTCATCGTTTTGTGTTTTCTTTCTCTTGTGGGAATGTTTACAAATAGATCTCAAAAACATTGAACACCAGGTCATACTGTAAATTGCTGCATTTTTCTTTCTCTTGTGGGAATGTTTACAATTAGATCTCAAAAACATTGAACAGCAGGTCATAAATTGCTGCATGTGTGATACGCAACCATACACCACTGACTCTCAAAGCCAGCTTGAATGTTTTATTTGTGATATCTATATTTTACTGTATTTCATGTAATATGTCTGAAGAAATCGACCTGTCCATGAAAGCTCACATTAAAATATAACAGTCTTTAAGGTGCTACAGTTTGTTTGGTTTTTTAAAATAATGTTTTAATATTATTTTTCCTTTGGTTTTTGCCTGAAATCCTGACACTTGACAATCTTTTCTAATTCCTTCATTGCTGCCTTTCCAAGTCTCAGTCTTTTTCTCATTTCTTGGTTGCACTCTCCATTTAGATTTCTGATTATTGTTATAATAAATAACTGTAGTTGTATTTAAAAAATTAGCTGGATTTTCCAGTTTTTCTGGACCAACTGATCTATTATTCTGTACTGCTTGTCATGAATGTTTTATTATTCTTTTATATAGGGGGAAATGCAGTGTTGCACTTCTGAATGAGACAGAATCTGTATTGTCATATCTTGCGAAAGAGGTAATGCTTCATTTTTGTAGGATAAAGTTCTCTAACAGTGTCTTTATACTGTATATGAATTTGTGGGGAGTATAAACAGGAAATTATTAATAAAAGCAGCACTTTAGCAGATACATTTGAAAATTTTTGTTTTAAATTATTGTCTGGTATGGTTATTCAGTATTCTGAGTTATTATTATTTTTAATAATACTGAAATGATTCATTTGAATTACATTCACAATTTGCAAGTGAAATTAGAAAGGCTTTCCTTCTTACCACCAGAATCTGTCTGATTCTTTTATCACTGAGCACCCCTGATATCAGGCTACATCTTGACATGATTGTCACTGATGGTAACTGAGCCACTTAGTAACCCTTCTTACATTAAAATTTTCATTAGGTGAAAGATTGCAATCCCTGCCTTCCCTTACATCCTACTAATTGTGCTTTCATCATGGTGTGATAGATTGTTTACTAAACTGCCACAAAACACTTTTTTAAACCAAAGGTTTTATCAGGCAGTGATTGTTGAGGGATCATAAGCTTTTATGGTGCAATTGTATGAGTATGCTCGGAAATAAACCCCAGGGAGTTAATTGTGGCTCACTTCCATTGTGTGTAAGCACACACCCTACATTGACAGAAGTATTGTTAGTTTCATATAATCACAGATTTTGCCAAAAACATTAGTCCTTTGTGCAGATATTTATTAAATTTGGAGCAGTTCGTCCGCTACAGTGTGTAGTAGTAATTAGTTATATAATGTATATGCATTATATTAGTTATATAATGTGGCTTTCACAACTCTGTAGTGAAAGCCACATTATATATCTAATTACTATATTACTATAAATATGCAGCATTTGTAATAATAATTAAAACAGAAAAGAAAACCGATGAAAGGCACACTTTTAGCTTTCCATGATCACAAATACGTGCAGGGGTAGACACTGATACAGAACTCAACACAGTCTCTTTTTTTCTCATTTCGCCTTCATGGCTCATCAGATGCATGTGCTGCTATACCAACAGCCCTTTTTAACAAGAGACTTGATTTACTTTTGTCATAGACAGGCATGAGTTTGCTGAAGGTTCTGCTGTTAAAAGCCAAAGATTCCTCACTGTGGTCTACAGCTTTCTGTGGTTTTCAGACAAAAGTTCTTCCTAGTCTTGGCACTGAAAAAGTAAATTGTGATTTGTACATTGAAATTCAAGGTTCTTCTTCATGGCCTGTGTGAATCACATCCTGGTTGATCCGCGCCTGCGCAGAACCTCATCAGAAAGTTCTAGAGCTTCTGCGGTAGCAAAAAATACATTGGAGTAAGACCCCTCCCCCCTCATATAAGTACTTCAGTGTCAAGGCTCCCCTTTCAGTTTCTTTCAACTGCCGCGTTGACAGCCTCATACTTCCGCTTCTGTGAGTAAAAGAGAAGGAGAGTTTATTCTTGATTCCTTCTTTAAACTTTTAGATCAAATTCATTATCATTAGAGATTTTTTCTTTTCCAATTTGTTCAGCCTCCGGCCCTGGCACCCCATCATTGTTTTTTCTCCTCAAATTATTTTCTCCTATTCATGTCCCCTTTGGGCCCGTTTAAACACGGTGTGGTCTTTGATAACAAAATACTACTCTCGAACAGCTACACCAAGTGTCTTTTTTGCTTGGGAGAAGCACACCAGACCTCCTCCCGCCAGCATTGTCAGAACTTCAAGTGCGGAGTCCTCCGTTCTTGTTTATCCAGGTTAAAACTCTGTCTTTGGGAACAATCCCTTCAACCAACCAAAATGACCCAACCTCCTTGTAAGGCTACCTCGCAAACCAAAGCAATGGAGAAGGCTCTTTCTGAAGCCTCCAAACAACGTCCAGGGACCACATCATTCCACTCCAATGTTCCATCCACTTTGTCTAAAACGTCAAAAACCCATAAAGAGCTCAATACTGAAATCCTCAATATCGAAGCCCTCCACTAAATGTCAAATGTCCACCGAAGCCTCTTCGGTTCCGTAGCCTTAGCTGCCTAAAAGACCTAAACAGCATAAATCTAAAGCTGCAGTCATTTCTCAGCAGCCTCAATAGACCGCCAAATCAATCTCTATTGGTTCGCTTTCTGATGATGACTGAATCCCCTCTCATCAATCCTGCTCCCAATCACCGGAATGGTATGACGGAGTCAATCGTGTAACATCTTCTTCTCCCAGTCCTCAACACTCTGTTATTTC